CGCCAAACGGATCACTGAAATGGATCACCCGCCGTATTCGCCCGATTTAGCCCCCAGTGACTTTTGGCTGTTTCCCAAACTCAAAAATTTTTTGAAAGGCCACCGATTTCAAAGCATTGAAGACATTCAAACAAATGTGATGCAGGCTCTGAAAGACATCCCAAAAGAAGACTTCCACCGCTGTTTTCAGCAACTGCAGCATCGTTGGGATAAGTGTATACGTTCTGGAGGGGAGTACTTTGAAGGCGATGAATGTGATTAATTTGTAAGTTTAAAATACATAATTAAAAAATAAAGTCTGGAAACTTAATAGCCACACCTCGTATTTATCGGATTCTCATTATAACGTCTAAGCATGCGGCAATAATCTCGAAAGTCTCGCTCGGTCGTGAAAGCTTAAGAGGAAATCGGAAATCTGCTTGGACTAGATTACTTCGTATAGTTTCTCATATTAGGAAGACAGTGAAATCTTCCCTACTTTAAGTTTTTGGTCGTTTAGTTCTTTCATTCTGCTGCCAATCGAACTATCCTCTGGATCAAAAATGCGAATGTATTTTGAAGGAATGAAGCGAATGGATCCAACTTTCGGACGGAATGAATTTTTCGATGTTTCAATTCCCCAGATCAGTCACTTTACGGTTTAAAATGCCCTACCTCGCTTCAAACTTGGCTCAACTTTACGTAATCAAAGGCCGTGGCTCGCCGAAAGCTCCGGGCAGACGCCGCGGGTGCATTGCCTGGATTTCATTTTTTTAAAACATACTGTCGGTTTTTTTCTGTTTTCCTTCCTACGAACGCAGTTGAACCTGGCTTCATTAATCGTCGCCGAGCAAATGCGAGCTGCGTTTGCACGGCGAGCTGCCACGCGCTGGGTCACAAATTTTCTCTCGAGATCCAACTCCCATTTCAAAGAATGAAATGGGAGTTTGATCTCGGCTCGATGAACTCGGAAGGAAAAGCAGCTGGTCATGTGGGTTATATGCATTTTTTTTTCTGAGATCCGAAGAACCGAAACGATGAACTATGTTTCCCATTACCTTTCACTTCCCATTACTTCGTCGACTTGGGGTAAAAGTATTACACGCACATGGGGTCTATTACAAGGGTCTCTATGAGGGGAGAACTGTGCATGATGACGTCAACTCCCCCCCCCCCGCGATTAGGGGGAAAAGGGGGGAGGGGGGGGGGGCGTGTCCTACGAGTGCAATCGACCAGCGGCAATTGTCCTGCAGTTTTCGTGGAAGAGCGGGGGACGCACTCGACGGAAGGCGTTTTTACGCTTTTCCTTCATTGTTTTCTCAGGAGATTCGCATCGTCATCGTTGCTCGTCGTGGTTCGGGCCGCGGAAGTCTGTCGTGTCCGTTTTTCGTGTTCCGTTCAGAAATGTCGAAACCCCGGAGAACCCACGAAAAAAATAAGTAGATGATGGGACTCCCCAACAGACTCCCCCCACCCCCAACAGACTCCCACGCTTCCAAGACTTGGATTTAGCCACGCGGATTACCTACATTTCCCGCGTTCTGCCGAAGTTCTTGACAGGGCGGTTCTTCGTTTCGGGCCGTGGACCTCCGGTAGCTCACGTTCATGTATATTTTAATATTCCTGATGAAACCACTTCCCACCTGGACAAATATGCCACAATGGCACGTGTTTGAGACGTCTAATCGATGTCGACCCTCGGCCCCTCGGCCCCTCGGCCCCTCGGCCCCTCGGCCCCTCGGCCCCTCGAGCATTTCCTTCCACGAATGAGCGCCTTCTCTCAGCATCAGGAAATGCATGGCGTTCCCGAGCCTTTGCACGCAGATCGGCACCGCACTTTCCGAATCGAGAG